CTCACCTACCTAAAATTAATCGTTTGCTTTACAAAACGTGTTTACGTAGAATATACTAAAGAAACGGGCCTAAGACATCTTTCACAATAATACAAAGTAACTAATGTACATATTTAATGGAATTTTAAATTTTTAGTTTTGTACATTGCTATTTTGATATACTATGTCCCATGACTGTTGGTTACAATTTGCTTTTTTTTGGTCCAATCCTTTTGGGAATACAGCAAATAAAACGGTTGTTTTGATTTATAAAAAATGTTACGCTACCAACCAGTTAAAAAGTTACTTTAGGTAACTAACAATAGGTATTTTTTATTGATAATTTCCAGATTTTTACTTGCACAGATAAAATTCATACTTTTATATATATTTGCCTGCTTTTTCCTGAATATATGTCAAATTTAACATTTATAAACTAAATAAGTAAATAACATATTTTAAAAAACTGCGAAAATATCTTTAAATACAAATTACGTTTATTTCATATTTTGTTTCAGAGAAATTTAAACTGTTTTTAGTATCTTATATCAATATATCTTTTATCTGATATAAATAGATATAATATTATTATTTTTGTATACAGAGAAGATTACAGTTGAGGGTTGGAACCTTTGGTGTTAAACAGCAAAATAAAAACACTAAATCACCACAATACACCAAAACACTTTTACTTTTACACTGGACGCGCGTTTCGCTAACCATGTTAGCATCATCAGCAGATGATTATAAACTGATAATATAGTATATAATCATCTGCTGATGATGCTAACATGGTTAGCGAAACGCGCGTCCAGTGTAAAAGTAAAAGTGTTTTGGTGTATTGTGGTGATTTAGTGTTTTTATTTTGCTATACAGAGAAGACCAGGCTACTAGTAACATAGCAAGTTGCCGGACGAATTTACGTTTACCCGTTTTGCGTTCGTACTCGAGACTGCTCCAGATTCACTGCCGGCTAGTCAGCTGGTCCACAGAACACACTAAAGAAGAACGCTAACTCCCATGCATTTTTTAGTTTCAAAACGGTTTCAAATTTGTAAAGAAATCTGTAATCTGTATATTGAAGTGGTGCCATCTAGCCACCCAGGAAAGTAACAAAGGTGGCGGCAAATTTAAATAGATGCAATTTATTTTTAAGCAAGACGCTTTGACTTGGTCGCCAGTCAGATTTCTACAAATAATTTTGACTTGTTCGCCAATCAGATTTCTACAAAATAATGTGTAGTCATCTGATTGGTCCCAAGTTGGCAAACAAGTCAAATGGTAAAAAACAAGGATTTATATATAAAGGTTAAACTATTGTAAAGTGTTAAATGGTTTGCTTATATCATTTTATGTGCATAAAAACCTACAATAAATAATTTATTGTAATTTACAGAAAATTATACCATGAAACATTTTACAAACAATAAAACAACAGATTAAAAAGTATAATATTTATTATAGTACCAGATTTAAGAACACATAACAAATATCGTTGGAATACAAGAGAAAGTGACGTCCATTAGAAACAATAATGTTTTATTTACGTGTATTTTTTACATATGGACTTGAACAATTGTGTAATATCACATTGTGGAGTTTATGTACAAAAATATGGAGTTGATCACTTTTTTTTGTAAAAATATATGGCGTTGTAAATATTACATTGTTAAAAAATAAAATTCAGGAACATTTGGACTTGGTTAGGTTACCTCACCTCACTTTCTTGGATTATTAAATACAATTGTTAGATAAATCAAAGACCTTTAACTTAAACCTTACCTTTAATAAAGATCTTAAAAATCAAACACAAAACAAAGTTCAAAAAAATTCAAAAATACAAAATCACGATGTAAAATGAAGATTGCATGAAGAGTGTGGAAGAGCCGAGTATTTATTATTTTCATTTTAAGTGTTTACCTTCACTTAAGGTAACATTTAAAATGAAAATACTTAAATATTTATTATTTGAGTGTGTTTACAAGCCAAAACTAAAATTAAATAAATTCTCTAAACCCAAAAAATACTAAAATATTACTCTAAATAAAAAAAGTTATAACAAGTGTTCAAAAAGACCATCTTTTTGTGCTAGACAGAAACCTAAGCGGTCGTAAAATCCCCGTCTGACATTGGCTAACTTATTAGGGCTAATAGTTTGGAAAGCCTCTCGTATTTTTACTTGAAGCTCATCCAGATTATTAGCCCTATTATGACCATACACTTTGGATTTTACATAACCCCACAAAAATAAGTCATTAGGAGAAAGATCTGGTGATCTAGCGGGCCACAAAAGAGTGTCTTCCAATATTCTTGAACAATACGGGCATTGTGGGCAGGACAACCACCTCAGCAATCTGATTACTTGAAAACGTGGGATTTTGATCCGCGGTAGCACAAATGAACACTTGCTTTAACTCCTGTTCTTCATTAATCAACACATCAGGCTTTTTGTGTTTTTGTGGGAACACGCACCCATCTGTTTCAAAATTATTAATGAATTATAAAAAAAATTACTAATGAATTATAAAAACTCTTGATACAGTAGGTAAATATGGAATTGGCCTGTTTACAAAAGTTTGCGGAAAAATTGTTTGTATATCCCGATAAGACCTATTTTGGAAATACCATTTTACAATTTGAATTTTCCCACGAACTTCGTAAACATCCATTATTATACTTAAAAAATAAATTTTACACGAGAACTGTCGCGAGAATCTATGTATTCGTTTTGGCTATTAAAACACGAATAAATACAAATTCTGAAACATTCTTATCACATATCTACCTATTTTTATTTTATCGCATCCGGCGGACGGGTTTACGCTAATTCGTCCGGTTCTGCCTATGTCCGGTCTGTATATCATTTTATATATAAAAATATCAACAAGTTTATAGTTGAAAACTCTTTTTTGTATATAATAAAATATATTTATAGATACTTATTATTGTGATATAATTAAGAGTTCTCTATATACTTTCTATTAAGGCACAATCAATATTGATTGTTATTTCATAGACATAAGTTAATAATTCATAATATTCTTTGGCCAAAGAAATGATTTCTATTTTTACTTAATGTTATAAGGACATAACACAAATAATGAGTTGTGTTTATTCTATACATTTTTTAAATCTATGTATTATTTTATATACAAAATTGTCAACATTGATCTATATATAATGTGTTCTTTCTTTTATAAATTGGATTAGGATCGAAAGAAATCAACAGAAGTCCTTTGTTTTAAATTTGTCGACGTTTGGCAAAATTTATTTGCATCTTCAAGACACTACAAAGTTAAGAGAGCAAAAATACAATCAAATAAAAGTTTTTTCAAAAGCTTTTTTGTTTGTTGAATTTTTGAAAAAACTTTTATTTGATTGTATTTTTGCTCTCTTAACTTTGTAGTGTCTTGAAGATGCAAATAAATTTTGCCAAACGTCGACAAATTTAAAACAAAGGACTTCTGTTGATTTCTTTCGATCCTAATCCAATTTATAAAAGAAAGAACACATTATATATTATTGGATCGACAACAATAAAAATTATATTGATCTATATATCAATAAATATTTTTTTTTTAAATAATTCAGCACTGCCTGTAGATAATGACCTACTATGTAATATTATGTGAAACAATTACAAGTTTTATACTTTTTATTAAGGCACATGCAGCATTGATGTTTTTCTGTAGACTTAAATTGAAAATTCATTAGATTCGTTGGTCAAGAAAATAATTTCTATTTTTGCTTAGTGTTCTAACGATGTAACATAAACAGCGCGTAGTTTTGTTTCAAAGTTGGGAAAACATAATAGCTTCTGAACAAAAATAAATAATGCTCTTTCTTATAATGGAAACGGCAGCATTTATATTTGCTTACTTTAATCAAACACGAAATGTATGGTTGCGCCAGTTGTTTTGATTTAGATTATTTATTTATACCTGGTAAATAAGCGAATGTGAACTTTACGCTCTTGCTCTATCAATCAGAGCATAATAATTTTGTTATTAAACTAGAATAACTAAGTGATATTTAGGTGAGCTTCTTGTAAGTCTTAAGTGTTAACATTATATAACATTTACAAATTAACCAAGATCGAAATTGATATACAGCTTACTTCTTTGGTATAATTAATACATGCTTTTTTTCGATCAAGTTTTTGTTATTCAAAACAGCTCTAGCCGTATAATGCTAAATATACCAATTGCGTGTAATACTCACAGGTTTTGTTTGATTTAAATTGTTTGTAAAAGTATATTATGTACTTTCAATTAATGCTGAAGGTGTAAATTTTGTGTAATATCAGTAAAAATCGTGCTTGCAATCGAACTTTTATTTGTTATTTTTTATTGTACTGTATGAATTTTGTGATGTTTATTTACACATTTAGTAATAATTTGTAACTGAATATATCCCAAACGCACTTAAAAAAAATATTAAAAAAAGGTGAAATAAAAAATTAGCTTTTTTATTTCACCTCTACTTATATAAATATAAATATTTCCGGGATAAATTTTTAATTTGCTGTCATTATTTTACTCATATGAATCGGAATTGCTAAACTATTTTGATGATTCAATATATTTAATTAAGAGAATGTTATACAAATCTTTCCTTTTAAAAGTTACATTTTAGCCATATTTTTATTAGAGTTTTTATCTTACTTATAAATTATTTCCCAACTCTTCAACCGGGGAATTTATGAGCGATTTTATTTAAGTTTATGGATAGGGGCATTATTTTTAAAGAAGACAGAAGAAGCTCTCGACAAAATATCACATTTCTGATAAAAGTTTCCTAACTTTTAAATAAGACAGTGATTCTTCAAAGTGTACAAAGAAAGTTATACATTTATAATAAAATGTCATAAGATAATTGGCAAAGTAAGAAAGAAATATTGGAAAAATATGTCGAATCTAATACTACACTTTTTTTGATTGACTTTTGAGATGAAACTTTTATTTTTAATGAAATATAGACTTTACTCGAGCAAAATAATCAAAAAGTGCTTTATTTTTCAGATATCACCAAATGTAGTAGGACGGTGAAATGCAACAGCGGACAAAATGCGCGAAGTAAAATATCTCATGCACTATGCCCTTAGTAAACGTAAATTTATTATCTTTGGTACGTAGGTGCGGTGCATTATGAGACAGCATTCGTACGCGCATGCGCCAGCTACGGCCCACCCCGCTCAGCGCGTCGTCGAATCATATGGCGTCTACCACGACCCACCACACTGTGTCCCAAACTATCATGATTCACATATCGACCGATATCACGACCGAAATTACGAAACCCATATTACCTATACCGACCCGTTATGCGTAGACCGCGTCAAGTATCACAATAACGAGCACACCGACGCTTACGTCACGCAGAGAGCGCAAATATCGCGTGCCGGAGTCATAGTGAACGCGTCGGGTAATAGTTCTTTAGTGCGCAGTTCGGTGGCGCCGCACAACAACGCGGCGCAGACGAACAGCAACAATATCGCGCAGCAGCCGCAGGCGTCAACGCAGAATGCCAATAATTCTAGTGCGCAGCAAGGGCAGACTTGGAATGAGGGGGAGGAGACTGAAAGTACTTTTTGTTGCGGCTGTCAGGACCAGCGAAAAGTACAGTCGACTGCTGCCAGTAACAGTGCGAACAGGACTTCGCTGTGGGCAGTGTGGTGTAGACCAACTATTTTACTGCTAATGTTGGTACTGGTGGCGTCGATTTTCGTTTTGGCGTCTGGTATTATGCTGTATTATCACTGTACGTATTATAGAAAAGTTGGTGTTGCATGAAATGTCCACTCTTGTTATAGCACCTTTTTATGTTATGTGTAGCTATTTTTTTAAGTTGATTCTTATCCCTGGATTTATTATAATTGCATCTTCCTATTGTTTGGGTCAATTTGATATCAGTATAGTAGAGCTGTTTGATATTTAACTGGTAAATTAAGTAAACCTTAATGTATGTTATTGATCTTACGTTGTTCCTCTTAGTGATTTCTGGTTGAAAGAAATATGTTTTATTCGGAGAACTTAAAGCGAAGGTTTTACATTTAAAAGAAATACTACTCAAGAACTATGTACTCGTATAATGATAGAGAACTATTTAAGAGCAACGGTTGTCTTCATATAGGTCTAATATGAATTCTCCGGTTATATATGTAGATCAGCACAAAATCAGAATTAAAATAATTTAATTAAAAATATAGAAATATATCGTAAAAGATTCTGAAAAAATAGCTTTAAGCATATACATATTTAGGTAAATATTTTCTTCTGTTTTATCTTAAAAACCGAAAAAAGTTGACGCAGAGTAAAACTAGTCTATGGGACCGTAATATAAAGCTATTTTATATTTTTATATGTGCAAGACGAGAAGGTTGGCAGTTATATGCTTTAAAATATGTAAATATTCTGACTATTTGTTAACAATTGCACCTGAATTCAAATTAGATTTTTACTTAGAAAAATATTTTTGTTGCAGCTGCTACGCTAGCTTTTACAAGAGTTGAACTAGTATAACGTTTTAAATTCCTTAGTGTTTATTTTTCTTGAATTTAAAGGAGGGTTTCCTGGTTTATTAAACGTAATAGTATTAACAATGATTTTAATAAAAAGAAACAAATTTAAATAATTATATTTAACAAAGCAAAGTTTACTCGACATCAAGATATGTCTATAGTTTTAAATCTCCACAGTGTAGTTAAGCTCTTTGGACACATATGAAAGTATATTTTAATTTCAAAAAAAAACTCAAAAAAATAGCTAAAATGGTTGTTTTTTAGAGAAGCGCGATTAATAAAAAAACAATTTAAATGTATGAAAACGATTTGATATTTGATTTTAACTGAAAATATCGAATCTATATGTATTTTTCAATATAACAATAACAGGCAAATTATTTTGTTGATAAACTGAAATCAATTGAAATTTTAGAGATATTTTTAACGATCTTTTGCAATATCCTCTAAGGAGTATAATTCCGAGAAAGTTTTAGCAAACGGAATCCAATAAATATAGAAGTTAAAATTTAGAACTTGGGCGTAAAATAGTAAAGAGGGTCTTTTTACTACACTTAGTTATACTAAAACTTTATCCAAACTTAATTATTGCCTGAGTATATTTATGCGTTTTATGGCCGGGTTAGTATTTTAAGCAAAACCTAATTAAATTTTTAGGTCTAATGAACGTTAAACGGGTTATATTAACTGTAGTGAAGCAAAATGAAACGTAAATTAAAACCAATATATAAAGTATTAATAAAGTTACACGGCTAAAGACTCTTACTTAATATTTTAATATTATTTTTGTAATAAAATATCTATTGGTAAAATTAGGAATTATTAATTGTTTTTTATTTATATGCAAGATGAATCTATATATAAAATACATAATAAAATTCAAATATCAGGTCATTTTCATACATAACATTGTATATGTTATTAACATATCATTTATACCGTATGACCGAATAAAAACGGCGTCAGCGATGGCTATGAAATGAAGATCGCTGTCATTTTATATGTAAAATTATATGGGAAATGTCATTGATCGTCATTTCCAAGCCAACTGGACGCCGTTTTTTTGATCATACAGTATATCTCTATATGTCTATGTACTGCTCCAATCTAGATTTTATTAGTTTTAGAGAGATACTCTGTATATTTCTAGATCTCAAAATAGCTAATAATATACTTCTCTTTTCACTTGCTGGGAATAATATTTGAAAACATTATATTAATGAACTAAAATATATAAAAATGACTAATGCAGAATTTATATGTATAAGAACTTTACACAACAATTTTTTATTCTGTTTAGGACTATCCGATGTTGTTATTCGCTAAAAGTAAAATCTAATTTTCGTAGTGCATTAGGTGGGGAATCACTTTAAAATGGTAAGTGAGTAGTTTGATTCCTTTATTTAACAGGCGAAAACTTTCAACCTGTTAATAATAAATGTGTTTTGCACTTTAGGGAGTTCAGCATTAATTAAAATATATATAGGTTTTGTGCCATTTTCGAACTATGAACTTTCCGACGAAAATTTTGATGAAGCACAGACGAAATCGAATTCAAAACATTATTTTCCGATGTCACGGAATTTTTTCTTTGGCAAATATTTAGTTTGTTACAGGGAGGCCTTTATATTATAGGAAAATCTTTTGAAGCTGCCGAATTTTTCAATCTTGCTTATCTAGAACTGGGGCTTATCCTTAAGCTGTTATATATTCGCTAGCTTCTATAGAAAATATAAAAGTTATATTTGAAGAGAATTTCCTAGGTATATTGCGACCAACAAATACGTAGATATCAAAATATTTTTTGTTTTTGTGAAAAAAACGTAAAGTCAATCAAAGAAGATATATGTTTGACAAATTAAAATATTAAAAAATGTTAATACCTGTGTTGCGGATTCATGTCTTCAAAAAAGTACTATGGGTATTTCGCCACTTGCAAAAAAATATAAAATAATATTTTACTAGGCTTTTTTAATAGTCTAATTTAAATATTCTTTTTTGTCCGTCAGGCAAATTTGTTTATTAGTAAGTAAGTAAGTAAGTAAGTACCCAAGTAGCATTTTCACGACTTGCGACCACATGTTTACTAAACACAACGATGGATTAGTTACAAAAAATAGTTAGCTGCGTACCTTGGGCATTAAAATAAATGTAAACGTTGTTGTAACGTTGTGCCGACGTTGAACTAGTACTACAACAAAGTAAAAGCTTCTGCGACGTCGAATAAACGTTGTCTTTTAACCTTTTTTGCTTAAGTGATCTTTAGGTGATTCGGACAACGTAGTTACAATGTTGGGCAATAAAGAGTTTTCCGACGTCACTTTCAGGACCTATTGCAATAGGGAATGCAACAGGAATATGCAAACGTCGTCTGTTTTACTAATTCCAACGTTGTTTAAATTTCCTTATTCTTACGTTGGTAGGACGTTGAGCCACTACCTTTTTGCAACTGTATTGAACCATAACCTTAAATCTTAAATTTTAACTTCATTGTTCTGTTCAGTCAGACAGTTCAGTGCTGTTTTTGTTTTTATAAAAAAAACTTAATTAAAATGGGACGTAAGAAAGGCACATATAAAACTAAATTTAAATATACATCGATATATTACCGGTACTTTATCCACTCCCTCGTTTATTTAGAATATAGAGGGCGGCACAAGCTAGACTCTAGGATGACTAAATTAGGCAATTTTGCGACTAATATACTACCTGTTAAGGCTGAACTGCGACTTTATTAGTCCAGTATGCGACTACTCGAACTACTTCATCTTAATCTCCAAAACAACAAAGTGAAAGCCGCCATGTTGTTGAATAAGAAAACGTTTCGTTCCTAAAATAGCAATTCCTGCTTTTTGAATACATTAACTTGAAATGTTTGACCTTAAACAACACGCGGAAACAATTTTTTTTCGACTGCGAATAAATTATTCTCATTTTTACCAAAAAAAAATCAAGAATTTTTTTAAAACTTCTTTAATTTTAAGGCCCATTAGTATTTTTCAAAGTAGAAACAATACAATTATCAATAAAGTTGTTTGCGTTTAACTTTTTTGCCTTGGGTAACGAGTTACAGAGTTGGTTAAAGTGTTTCAATAATTATGATCTTCAAACATCTTCCACACTTAAAAACTTTTGTTTTGTTTTCCTTTACTGCCATCTGGCATATGTCTTTAACTAAATCATAAAAATGATATTTTTACTATAATTATCCCAATTTAGGATAAAACGCGACTTAGACGCCATATTATTATAGTTTTTTATTTCTGTGAATTAGGATTTTAAACAACGTTGCAGTTTGTACTAAATTAGGCTGCTAGCCAACGTAGGTATCCAACGTCGTTTCGACCCAAAAATTATTCTCCAAACTAGTGCAGACTAGGGTTGGCACGAGGTTGTGCCGACGTTGCGCCCCGACGTTTGGTCGCGTGACACAACGTTGTCCCGACGTCCAAATGCTGCTTGGGTAAGTAAGTAAGTAAGTAAGTTTATTAGTAAATCATTGCTGACAAGTTGGTCTCCGTTGGATAAACGCAGCAGTGTTTACAAAAAATAACTATTTTACTTTGTAGATTTTCTTACAGTGTAAGTGGCGAAATACCCATAGGACTTTTTTGATGAAATAAAAAGATTCTAAAACATTTAAACTGTTTATTAAAAAAAATTGTATATCAAATATTAACAGCTGGTTCCAAAAAAAATGAATACGACTCTTTATACATTTTTATTATTTCGGGCAGTATATTCTATGATTCTGACGTTCTGAAAAATTTATTTGCCACTTTGTCAGAAGCAAAGTTGTTTTACACAATATCACAATCACCTTAACATGTCAAAATACTTGACACATAAATATACACTGCTCAGATATTCGAAAAAAAATGTGTAGAGTCGTATTCATTTTTTTTTGGAACCAGCTGTACAACGATTAATGTATGCGATTGTTCGGACCTGGAATTTTATTAACCATTTTTCTGTCAAAAGAAAATAAAGTCCTCTTACTCTGTGTGCCAACCCACCAACGGATAAAAGGTAATGAAAAAGCAAACGTTCTAGCTAGAAAAGGAGCGAACACTCCATTAACTGGGCCAGAATTAAACTAAAATCGAACTCAAAAACCTGGAAGACACTATCCGTAACCTGGAATGGGAATCCTCCAACCCCCCCGGTCTAATATACTCGAAAATTTTTCTCAGAAATTAACACCGAGAAAAAAAAGATTTTCCTTGATTTAAGTTAGAACAATCTTCCAATTTGTCGTGGGGTGTTTAACAGGACACTATCTTCCCAATACTATTGGGAAGTACTTCCCAATATACTTCCCATCAGTGGAATAACTCAGTAGATTGAAACTTAGAAAAAACGGCTAATGCAGATCCTCTGAGGAAAATGGGGAAACATCAAAATACCTCATCACTGAGTGCGCCCATGAACTTGGGTACCACTGATACCACTGGCGATTGAAAACTAACCTCTGTAAAACCGTCTCAGAGAATAGCTTTTATAAAAGCCTTAGGGGTGAGTCCAGACCATCGTAGGAAGAGCATAACGGCGGATCAGAGTCAGCGGATCATCTCCAGCTCTATTTGCTGAAATTTTTCGAAAATTTATCTGTCAATAATTTCAGCCTATAGAATTGCTGAAGATCGATACTCTGTCTGGACTCATCCTAAGACTGTATGATGAGTTATAACTCAAGAAAAGGGGACACGATGGATCTATAAGGTCGCGGTGAAAACTTCTCTCCACACATAAAATCTACAGTCTTAGCATTTTTATGGTACCAAAATTCAATTTTATTAAATTTTTAATCACTGTGCGTTTCTAAGAAATAAAATATAATCCTGAGAAATTAAATTAGAAAATAAATTAGATAGTAAAGGTAATATATTATTTGCTAATAAATGAGTGCAATGCTTCAAAGTTAACTGTTGCTGTTCGAAACCTACCGGAAATGTTTTATCAATCAAACAATTTGTAAAATCGATAGGCGCGCATGCCGGTAATTAATTACCAAAAACTGTTTTTTCTTGTTTTATGACATTTTGTAGCTTACAAACAGTAAAGTTGGTAATTACATATCCCCAACCATCAATCACTTTTGTCATACGGAACGTGATGCTCTAGCAACATTTATTCACGCGTTTTTATGACGGAATTATAGAAACATTTAAAAATAGTCAGGTCGCCTGGATTTATTGCCTTATTTAACAGCATACAGGGCTGATAAAAACGTATTAAATGAGTCAGATTCAATACAAACAAAGCAAATTAGTAAAATAAATATACTTCTCATAATAATGAGGAGTTATTATGGATGAAATTTATATTTTATATACTAGTGGCACTTTTAATTTTTCAGTCGAAATTTATGACTTGCTCAGTTCAGATTAAAGATCAAACTAAAATGATTTACCAAGCTGGTAGAAGACCATTTTGCTCTGAAGTAAAAGTGTTAACTTTTAGATCAGGCTGCCCGAAGTGACATAAAGAAGTAAATATTTTAGTTGAAAGGCGAAAATCTTAAGCCAGGCTACACTTGATAATTCTTTCGATCGATACAGAGTAAAATTTTTGTATTTGAACGTATACCCAATATCAATTATGGACCATTATATTTTTTTATTTAAACAATATTCAGTAAACGTGTTTCTAATTCCAGGATTGGTGTTTTTATAAAAAACAATTTTTTACATTGGATACAAAATATAAATTTCAGTAAAACAAATTAATTTTTCTATACTTGTTTATGATATAATAATCAAACATTAAATGTATTCGTTATAATATGGGTTGATTTTACTGAAGAAAAACATATTTTGATGTCGATCTATGTAATGTATAAATAAAATTTAATCTGCTTAAACTAGTTATTATATTCAGAAAGGGGGAATTAGCTAAAGCCTACATGATAAATGCGTTAAAATGGGAAATAGTCAATCGATAATATGATGATGTATGCCTTTGTTTACTACAACCTAGCACTATATGTCCAGATATAATTGATAAACATGTCCGATGTCTTTTTTTAAGTCAAGAGTAATGAAAATGCAATTTCCAGTAATAAAATTAATAATATAAAACTAATAAAAAATACAGCTGACAAAAACAACAATGTTTACTACATAATTCTCTAAAATAATCAATTCAAAAGTAAACTATTTTAGGGCAGAAATGCCAGGCTTTCTAGAATTAAAGCTAAACAATTACCAAATGTCTAAAATCCCCAAATCCAGATAACCTTCTTTACTTCATCCGCTTCTAACGTAACTCGCTCCAGAATAATAGTAATTATATCAAATTTATTGGATCAGAAATACTAAATATCTGGAAGTGAGTGGATTATATATTTCCAAGTTTCTGTTGTCAGAATTTTAGACACGCTAAAGATGCAAGTAATTTTGCTGCGAGCTATATTAAGCCATTTGTTTAAGCTTAAAATTTAATTTTAAACTAAATCTCTAGGATAAGGTAGATTCGTAAAATATTGTATATTTGGGTTAACCCTAGAGAAGGCGCGTATGACATATTATTCTCTATGATGACACATAGACAGTACATATGAGAAATAACATTATATTTTTTTAACTATCAAAAGCAAAGCCCTTTTATTTTTTTGACATATGTTTGCATTATTTCAATAAAAAAATTATGTAAGAAACTAGCATTATGTACTTGAAATCCAAATAAATATCGTCAAAATAATGAGAGCACATCTCATTATAAGAGAAAACTTCAAACAAAGAGTATTCTCTTTCGGTGGGTAGCAGCAGTAGTACGAAGCTAGTTTCGTCTTAATTTATTGAAATAAAAGCATACAGCTTTATATACATACACTACCGTTCAAAAGATTAAAACTACTTTGAAATTCTGCATTAATTTGCATTGTGAATTTTCGATCCTTGTGTACAGCTTATAGTTATTGCAATCTTATAGTAATTAAAACGCAAAATCCCTTGCAAAGCTTGTTCCTATGCTAAAAATAATTTGAAAATCTTATATCGGCTAATTTTTTACTAAAAAAAGTTGGCCTTCTGAACGAAACACGTTCAAAAAAGTTTGTTATAGTTACTATTATGAGTAAATAATATAGTATTATTATTTAAGGTTAAGAATATTATTAAAACAGTTGAGTAGTGTAGGAGTACTATTTTTATTTGCTTTTAAAAAAAGCTATAGTATTTAAAAATCACATTTTAAAATTTTCAAATGTCGTTTTTATTGTATCATAAACGCAGAATAGCTATTGTGATTTGTTAATCCTGTATTGCCATAGAGCTTAAAAATGCCACGAAACCATATTAACAGAGAAACATTGGACACAATCGATATAAATAAAAACAGTATTTTTGCGGTAGAATATTTTAAAATAATGGTAATATATTTTGATAGGAGCTGAAATAAAAAATGTTTTAATAATCAGGATTTTTAAAGAGCAAAAAGACGTAAAATGCTTACTTTTCCGTAACTTTGCAGGAATTAACTCTCAGTTTCCTATAGGTTCCTTCTCTGTCCTATTAATATATTTCTGTTTGTAGTAGCTTTTTATACTTTTCTTTTGAGAAGTTTCATTTTTTAAGACTGCTGTCTTAACATAGTCCAGTATAAAAGTTTTAATCAACGTTTTGTTTTTCAGATATTCATCAGTACAATCCCAGAATCAACCAGGCTCCAGGTAAGCCAGAGCAAAACATCTAGAGTACAGCAGAGAGATAATTGAAATATTTTCTGGCTTTTTACACAAATACGAATTTTATTGATTTGGAGAAAACAACGACTACCTAACTGTTGGTAGTCACGACAATCACTCGTTAAAATATAAATAGATTTTTACCAGAGATAATGCTCAAAACCGCTCTTACCTTTGAATAAATAAATAAGTGTGAAAGACGTGCTAATATTATTCGCTTTTAAGCAAATTGAGTATGCAATACAACTGTTTTTTCATATAGGTAGCATTGAAAAGTTTCTAAAGTATCTCCTTAACTTAAAGTTTGTTTATACAGTATTTTTGTTTTAATTCATAAATAATTAAATAACGTTTTGAATTAATTTAATAACACCGTAAAAGTATGTTCCTTGAGAAATATTCTCTCATCTACCCAGAACTTGTTAAGATTCTATAAAGTAAAAGATAAATTTAAAGATCTCTTTTTCCGTCATTATAATGCTTTATAAATACCATTCTCTGTGAATTACGGCTTTCCTAACAGGATTATTTTAATACCTTTTTTATTTTTATTTTGTTTTAATGTTCTTTGTAATTTGTTTTAAGATATGCTTAACTTTTTTTCGAGTGAGTTGAAAAGGATTTATTTGTTTTATGCGAATTTTATAAGGGCTATTAACGTCTGTTGTTGGTTTAGGGATAAATTAATTTATCTGGAAAGTTTTTTTGGCAGTGGAAATTTCGATTCTTAGCAGGTTTATTGTGAAATAAAATATCTTCTTTAGATTGTGGCATTGTCTTTAATTTTGAGATTTTACACAAAGTTTTGGCCAGGCATGTCACTCACCGTTATCAAGTATGAACCAATCTAAATCTAGTGAGATTATATACTAGATCAAGGCATTGGACTGTTTAGTATCTTTTTCAAAATTAAAAATGAAGGCCTTCCAGCTGTCAATATACCAGGGAAAACAAAATGTTGATATATTGGTGAAAGTTTGAAACACCCTGTGGAGTACGTTAACTACGCAAGGAATTTGAAAATCATTTTATCATCTAGGTGCATTTTTTTTCTATAGATTATTTTTTGGTTCATCTCAATAGTTTTATTTTTGTTGGAGATATTCGCTTTTGAAGAAGACACTAACAGTTTTTCGTAATTTTTATATTAAAAGCATGCCTTTGAATTTGGTCCCAGTCAACAGACCTATGAATTAGTAATGAATTAGTGTTATGATTTATGTAATTTCACTGTTATTGAAAAATCATATTATTATTGTCTGTTGGCTGTTGAGCAGTTAGTTTAACAGAGATGATTTTAAGCCCATAAGCTGTACCTGCTATAATAGCTTTAATTGAAGATGATAGAGATAAAAATCATGTCGCTAAGAGATTTAGGTGTGCACGAAGCACAGTGCAGTCGCTTCTCTGAGAAAAGTAGACGCTCAGAAACCTTCGGATCAGAACTTCAAATCGAGACAATCGACTTTTGTAAGTTTATGGCTAAGAAACCGTTTGCCAGCTTTTCAAATTTATAATGAATTGCATCTAAGGAAAGTACATGTAAGTGAACGGACTGTAAGAAGATTAAACGAAGCAAATATTTTATTAAGAAGACCCTCTTCGAGATTAACACAACTTACTAGGTCTGTTGATTAGGACCAGAAGCAAAGGAATGGTTTTAAAGCAAAATTTTTGAAAAAATGTTCAAAAAAATGATGAATCAAAAAAACAAACTATCGAGAAAGGATGTACCTAGAAAAACTGATAAAATAATTGTTGAATTCCTTCCTATCTTAACATATTCCACAGGATGTTTCAAACTTTCATCTAAATAGGTATCAACAATAAAATTTTAATGTGCCCGTTTTTCGTGGCGGTGAGTGTATATTTTTATTTGACACACCAATGAGTCTATTTTGCAGTTCAATATAATTTTGTCAATGGACTAAACCATTCTGAAGCAAATTTCTTTTTTATATTATTTCGCTAAGCATTAAGAGATGCTGTCTAAATTATAAAATAAAGACAATGTAGGTTTGATACATCAGTTTTGTTTTAAAATGAAACATTCTCTACCACCTTAAATAAAAAAATAATGTTGAATATATTCCAAACAAAAGTCGAAATTGAGACAAGAATAAAAATGTCCATTTTCATTCTTCTATCTAATTCACAGTGGTGCCATATCTGATAATCTAGTGGATTTTCTCCTATAAGCCGACACTTTTTTCCTTTACACTACAACACCCTTGAGTATAAAACGTTTTTTTTTCAGCGATCGTTATCCAAGATTAATAACCTATACAAAACGTGTTATCTCAGGTTCCTTGAAAATTGCTTTGTTTTCACCTTCGTATAAAAGATTAATTTTATTTTTAACTTGTTTTGCCTTCATTTTTAATTCGATCTGATACTAGGCTAGTCCAAAAATGTAGTGCGGTTGTTTTACAGCTTCGGTTAGAGCCAAATAAACTTTTCAGTTCAATTAACTTTGAAATGTTTATTTTTTTTTCGAACAGATCAAAAAACTCTATTACGGCAGCTCTATTATCGCGGCAAAGTTGTACCAAAAATATATTTTTTGTGTTTTGGCGAATGCAGTTATAATCTGTATTGGCGTGGAATGTAAATACTCAATTGAGTTTATGTGCATGCAATTCAATAGTTGCAAATATTTAAACTTCAGTCCAGTACAAAACGGTATTAGTAATCAGTATGAATACAAAAACAGATTGATTAGTCAAATAAAACACAGTTTTCAGGGATTAGGACCATAGGGATAATATAAATGACAATACTGAAAAAATATTTAAAAATTGTATAAAACAACTCTATGCACTGTTGAAGTCCTATTATAGGCTTGGTACATTCTCCGCCGGTGCTGCCCCAATCGGAGATATATCGTAAACAACTGGTATATATTTCACGGGTTTAAATAGCCAGTATACGGAAAAAAATATTATTAAATTATTCTAAAAGCATGTATAATTTATTAAAATTCTAAAAATAAAGATAAAAAGGTAAATATTATGATATCTTCAGCAGCTCTAACTTTTATTATAATTTATTATTCCAGCTAAAAGTTATGTTAGTGGGCTCATTCCGGCTATAATGAAATTATTTAAAGGTACATAATTATAATTTTGGATGTTCATAAAACATTTAATCACTAGTTGATTAAAAAAGTATATAATTAATATTGCAAATTATATTTTATCCTCTCATAGTATATGCTTATTTAATTTTTAATTATGTAATGACCATTTTGTTTGCTCACTTGTTTTGTCGAACTGCTTGAATCCATTTGAAGTGAGGAACTGCGAAGCTATAAAATATTGCTTCGGGATAGTTGAATATCCGGGAAAGTTGAGTTATTAAATCCTTTACGCGTTAACATTTTTTCGTCAATTTTATTAACATTTGAAATTGTCACAACACAACACGATGCCTAATTCGAATTCTTTTTCACTTATTTTTTACAATCCGTAACAGCGTTACATCACACAAACCTCGTACCTGAGTGTTTTATAGTTTCAATAACTACACTAGCAAAAGCGTGCAGTGCGTGCACGCACGTAGGCGCAACATTTTGGGGGCGCAAAATCAAAGGGTCAATCAGTACTTTGTAACAAAAAACCGATACCCTTTCTTGCCAATAAACAAATAGTTAAACCATCATAGGATAAAGTTTGCTTAGCGTCTTTTTTGCGTTGGCCGCACCGAATAAACAAGTCTAGGGCAATCTCTCGGCAACACATTGATCTCATCTATTTATTTTTCATTTTATGGAAAGCACTGTTCATTAAAATGTTGTATCCTATCTCATAGGGCTTGCTTCTTTCTACAATTTCCTGTCTCACAATGCACTGTTTGTGTCGGGGAAGGGATCATAGTTTCATAGTTGTCGATTTTCGAAAGAAATCAGTACATGTATATTATTTCGTATATTTTTCATTTTATTGATACTATAGAAAGCACTGTTCATTAAAATGTTGTATTATATGTTATAGGGCTTGTTTCTCTCTACAATTTCCTGTCTCACAATCTACTGTTTGTGTCGGGGAAGGGATCATAGTTTCATAGTTGTCGATTTTCGAAAGAAACCAGTACATGTATATTATTTCGTATATTTTTCATTTTATTGATACTATGGAAAGCACTGTTAATTAAAATGTTGTAATCTATGTTATAGGGCTTGCTTCTCTCTACAATTTCCTGTCTCACAATCTACTGTTTGTGTCGGGGAAGGGATCATAGTTTCATAGTTGTCGATTTTCGAAAGAAACCAGTACATGTATATTATTTCGTATATTTTTCATTTTATTGATACTATGGAAAGCACTGTTCATTAAAATGTTGTAATCTATGTTATAGGGCTTGCTTCTCTCTACAATTTCCTGTCTCACAATCTACTGTTTGTGTCGGGGAAGGGATCATAGTTTCATAGTTGTCGATTTTCGAAAGAAACCAGTACATGTATATTATTTCGTATATTTTTCATTTTATTGATACTATGGAAAGCACCGTTCATTAAAATGTTGTAATCTATGTTATAGGGCTTGTTTCTCTCTACAATTTCCTGTCTCACAATGTACTGTTTGTGTCGGGAAGGGATCATAGTTTCATAGTTGTCGATTTTCGAAAGAAATCAGTACATGTATATTATTTCGTATATTTTGTATTTTATTGATTTATGGAACGCACTGTTCATTAAAATGTTGTATCCTATGTTGTGGGGCTTGTTTCTCTCTACAATTTCCTGTCTCACAATGTACCGTTTGTATCCGGGAAGGGATCATAGTTTCATATTTGTCGACTTTCGAAAGAAATCAGTACATGTATATTATTTCGTATATTTTTCATTTTATTGGTACTACGGAAAGCACTGTTCATTAAAATGTTGTATCCTATGTTATAGGGCTTGTTTCTCTCTACAATTTCCTGTCTCACAATGTACCGTTTGTGTCGGGGAAGGGATCATAGTTTCATAGTTGTCGATTTTC